TATATGATTAGACCACTTCTGTATATGCATCAGAAGCATTCTAAGTTGCTCTGAGACGTACTATTTAAAGCATTGAGACTACTGAAATAAATATACACTTCCATCCTATTTAAATACAGAGTTTTGCATGTTAAATCTTCTGTCTCTTCTCAAAGTCATACGGTTCAAGATTTCTGAGTAGGCCAATTACAAGATCCAAAGCCTAGACAAAATGTGGCAGGCAGAGAAAAGTAAGAGATTAGCAAGTAAAGAAAGAAAGGGGATAGAGCTGATCAAGTAAAGCCTGCTCTGAATTCTTACACTTTACCAAATGCATCATTAGACTGATTTGCAGAAATTCCATAAAATGTTTCTTCCTGAAGTTAGTTAACCATTACAAGTAACTAAAGGCCTGTTAAGATGACCATCATAATTTCTAAGAACAGAAACAAATGAGCTAATTTCCACTACTAGTTTGGCAGAGTGGGAAGGTATGGTATGTGGACAGGGTAGCTGGAAGATTAAAAGAATGGGAATCAGTTTGCTTTAGCTGTGTAAATAGTGAAATGTTTGCACTAAAGCTGGCAACCAGAGGTTCAATAAAGTGTATGGTAAAATTATATTTCATGAATGTGTCAGTGTTTTTATTTGTTTTTAGTTAATCTCGCCTGCTCTTTTCTTTTTTTTTTTTTCCAGTCGCTCAGTAATGCCCAGTGATCCTGCCATTGCCTCTTCTTCACTTTTTCATTACCTGGAAGCAGACTGGTTCTGGTTCAGTCAGTTTGCATTGCTTCCCCTAATTTGGGAGTTACAGGAGGCATGGATTGTCTGTAGTTCCAAATTCAGATTCTAGCTGCCACACTCTGCCCCTTCCCTTTCCCCCGGATAAGCCCTCCACAGTTTTACTGCCAGCAGCAGGAGCTGTGCTATCTTCACAGCATCTCATTTCCATGGCACCAGCGGTCTCATCTCCTTGAGTGATGGCACTTTCTGCAGGTTCTGCTTCAGCAATCCAATATGTGGGATAGAAGGTGGATGAGCAGTCATGTGGTCAGGGCAAGCTATAAACTAAAAACTATAATTTTTTTTTTAAGAAAGTAAGGCTAGATGTTAATTAACAATGCCTAGTGTCTTATTACATGATTTGCATTTACATACAATTTTAGTGAATGTTGTATCACTATTAAAAGGGATTTGGAGGTATAGCCCTTTTGTTGGTGCACTACTAATGAGTATAAAAGTTGTTGCAGGCAACTAGTCTATTTTTGTTTCAGTGTTTTTGTAACTCTGCTTGCATTGTAAACCTACTAGTGGAGGTAAAGGCAATTTGTTTGTTCTCCAATATAAAAAAGAAGTTATACTTACCTGCTTTATGCAATGGTATTGTACAAAGAGGTCTCTTACCTCCTGTCCATAGACACACGCTGTATGGTTCAGCTCTCCTCACAGGATTTGATTGACAGCAGCAGGAGCCAATGGCTCCCACTGCTGCCTCTATATTCTATGAGCAGAGAAAGAAGGGGGAGCGCCGCTGCCGATGGGCACAGCGTTGCATCAAGGAAGGACTCAAGTAACTGTTTAGGGAGGTGGGGGGGGCCAATATAACTACTGGGACATTTAGTCCTGACTAAAACCAGTTTAAGTGCAAACAAATAGAAAGATGGAAAATCTTTAACAATATGTACTTTTATTAATCTAAACTATAAAAAAAACACAAACATATATATATATATATATATATATATATATATATATATATATATATATATATACACAGTGGGGCAAAAAAGTATTTAGTCAGCCACCAATTGTGCAAGTTCTTCCACTTAAAAAGATGAGAGAGGCCTGTAATTGGCATCATAGGTAGACCTCAACTATGAGAGACAAAAAGAGAAAAAAAATCCAGACAATCACATTGGCTGATTTGGAAAGAATTTATTTGCAAATTTGGTCAGTATCAAAAGTTCATCTCAATACTTTGTTATATATCCTTTGTTGGCAATGACAAAGGTCAAACGTTTCCTGTAAGTCTTCACAAGGTTGGCACACACTGTTGCTGGTATGTTGGCCCATTCCTCCATGCAGATCTCCTCTAGAGTAGTGATGTTTTGGGGCTGTCGCACTGGGCAACACGGACTTTCAACTCCCTCCAAAGGTTTTCTATGGGGTTGAGATCTGGAGACTGGCTAGGCCACTCCAGGACCTTGAAATGCTTCTTACGAAGCCACTCCTTCGTTGCCCGGGCGGTATCTTTGGGATCATTGTCATGTTGGAAGACCCAGCCACGTTTCATCTTCAATGCCCTTGCTGATGGAAGGAGGTTTGCACTCAAAAGCTCACGATACATGGCCCCATTCATTCTGTCCTGTACATGGATCAGTCATCCTGGTCCCTTTGCGGAGAAACAGCCCCAAAGCATGATGTTGCCACCCCCATGCTTCACAGTAGGTATGGTGTTCTTTGGATGCAACTTAGCATTCTCTCTCCTCCAAACACGACGAGTTGTGTTTCTACCAAACAGTTCTATTTTGGTTTCATCTGACCATATGACATTCTCCCAATCCTCTTATGGATCATCCAAATGCTCTCTAGCAAACTTCAGACGGGCCCCGGACATGTACTGGCTTAAGCAGGGGGACACGTCTGTCACTGCAGGATCTGAGTCCCTGGCGGTGTAGTGTGTTACTGATGGTAGCCTTTGTTACGTTGGTCCCAGCTCTCTACAGGTCATTCACTAGGTCCCCCCGTGTGGTCCTGGGATTTTTGCTCACTGTTCTTGTGATCATTTTGACCCCACGGGGAGAGATCTTGCGTGGAGCCCCAGATTGAGTGAGATTATCAGTGGTCTTGTATGTCTTCCATTTTCTAATTATTGCTCCCACAGTTGATTTGTTCACACCAAGCTGCTTGCCTATGGCAGATTCAGTCTTCCCAGCCTGGTGCAGGTCTACAATTTTGTTTCTGGTGTCCTTCGACAGCTCTTTGGTCTTCACCATAGTGGAGTTTGGAGTGTGACTGTTTGAGGTTGTGGACAGGTGTCTTTTATACTGATACAAGTTCAAACAGGTGCCATTGATACAGGTAATGAGTGCAGGACAGTGGAACATCTTAAAGAAGAAGGTACAGGTCTGTGAGAGCCAGAAATCTTGCTTGTTTGTAGGTGACCAAATACTTATTTTCCACCATAATTTGCAAATAAATTCTTTCCAAATCAGCCTGTCTGGATTTTTTTTCTCATTTTGTCTCTCATAGTTGAGGTCTACCTATGATGCCAATTACAGGCCTCTCTCATCTTTTTAAGTGGGAGAACTTGCACAATTGGTGGCTGGCTAAATACTTTTTTGCCCCACTGTATATATATACACACTATATTGCCCCAAACGTATTGGGCCACCCCTCCAAATCATTGGATTCAGGTGTTCCAATTACCTCCATGGTCACAGGTGTATAAAATCAAGCACCCAGGCATGCAGACTGCTTCTACAAACATTTGTGAAGAATGGGTCGCTCTCAGCAGCTCAGTGAATTTAAGCATGGTACCAAGATAGGTTGCGACCTGTGCATTAAGTCCATCTGTGAACTTTTCTTGCTACTAAATATTCTATGATCAACTTTTAGTGGTATTATAACAAAATGGAAGCAACTGGGAACAACAGCAATTCAGCCACAAAGTGGGAGGCCACGTAAAATCACAGAGCAGGGTCAGCGCATGCTGAAGCACGCAGTGTGTAAAAGTCGTCAATAGAGTCAATAGCTAAAGACCTCCAAACTTTGTGTGGCCCTCATATTAGCACAACAACAGTAAATAGAGAGCTTCATGGAATGGGTTTCCATGGCTGAGCAACTGCATCCAAGCCTTACATCACCAAGTGCAATGAAAAGCGTCAGCTGCAGTAGTGTAAAGCACGCCGCCACTGGACTCTAGAGCAGTGGAGACGTGTTCTCTGGAGTGACTAATCCCACTTCTCTGTCTGGAAATCCGATGGACGTGTCTGGGTTTGGTTGTTACCAGGAGAACAGTAGTTGTCTGATTACATTGTGCCAAGTGTAAAGTTTGGTGGAGGGGGGATTATGTTGTGGGGTTGTTTTTCAAGAATTGGGCTTGGCCCCTTTGTTCCAGTGAAGGGAACTCTTAAGGAGTCAGCATACCAAGACATTTTGGACAATTTCATGCTCCCAACTTTGTGGGAACAGTTTGGGGATGGCCCCTTCCTGTTCCAACATGACTACGTACCAGTGCACAAAGCAAGGTCCCATGACACGACATGGAGGAGCGAGTTTGGGGTGGAGGAACTTGACTGGCCTGCGCAGAGTCTTGACCTCAACCCGAACACCTTTAGGATGAATCTGAGTGGAGACTGCGAGCCAGGTGTTCTCGTTCTACATCAGTGTCTGACCTCACAAATGAGCTTGTAGAAGAATGGTCAAACATTCCCATAGACACACTCCTAAACCTTGTGGACAGCCTTCACAGAAGAGTTGAAGCTGTTATAGCTGCAAAGGGTGGGCCAACTCAATTTCGAACCCTACGGACTATGACTGGGATGTTACTAAAGTTCAGTTCATGTGTGTGTAAAGGCAGGCATCCCAATACTTTTGGAAAATTAGTGTATATATATATACGTATATATACACACACACCTCTTTCTGCCCAGGCCAATTTCCAGCTTTCAGCGCTGTTGCACTTTGAATGACAATTGCGCGGTCATGCAACACTGTACCCATATGAAATTTTTATTATTTTTTTGGGACAGATAGAGCTTTATTTTGGTGGTATTTAATCACCTCTGGGTTTTTTAATTTTTTCTTAGTTTTTGTTATAAAATGTTGTAAATAAGTGATTGTTCTCCTTCACTGATGTGCGCTAATGAGGGTGCACTGATGGGCACTGATAGGCTGCACTGATGGACACTGATAGGTGGCACTGATGAGGAGGCACTGGTAGGTGGCTCTGATGGGCATTCACAGGCATCACTGATGGGAACTGAAAGGCAGCACTCATATATGGCACTGATGGGTGGCACTGATAGGCGGCACTGACTGGCACTGTTAGGTGGCACTGATAGTACTGACGGGCACTGATAGGCGGCACTGACTGGTACTGATAGGCGGCACTGACTGGCACTGATAGGCAACACTGACTGACACTGATTGGCAACACTGATAGGTGGCACTGACTGGCATTGATAGGTGGCACTGACTGGCACTGATGGGTGACACTGAAAGGCAGCTCAGATGGGCACTGATATGTGGCATTGATGTGGCACTGATGGACACTGAAATGTGGCACTGGCAGGTGGCATGGATGAGCACTGAGAGCTGGCACTGATGGACACTAACAGGTGGCGCTGCTGGGGCTACACAGATCATCAGGGCACACTTATTAGTGCCCTGATGATCTGTGTACATGTCCCCTCCGAGGAATGCCAATTACTGGCTCTGCGCTCCTCACGAGCTGTCAGCGTGACAGCTTGTGGGGAGAGAAATGCCGATAACCGGCATTTCCCTGTTTACATGTGATCAGCTGTGATTGGACACAGCTGATCACATGACCGAGCCTACATCTTCAGCTCTTTCCGTGGATCAGTGATCCACGGTGTCTGAGGGACACAGCGCGCACCGCCGATCGCCGCGCTGCGTGCTCCAGGAGCCACGCATGTGCAGTTAGAATAGGAGGACGTCATATGACGTCCTCCCAGAATGAGACAACCACCTTGCGTCCGTCATATTACTATATGGCGGGTGGGAGGTGATTAAAGTGCATATCTGTCAAAACAATTGTATACATTGATAAAGCTGGGGATTTTGTGATGTTGTTAAATTAGCTTCTTGTTAAGCATTATTGGGCCACATGTTGCGAAAAGTATCTTTAGCACCCAGTATTCTCTCTTGACTGCACTATTTTTTATTAACTTTCTGGCTTTTGTTCAATTGGTTTCTGACCATGATATCTGCTTTTTATTTGTCAGTACTTAAGTATGTTTTTATATTTATTATATAGTACTTCTCATATATTATGAATCTGTCAACCTACTGAGCCTCACTGCTAGTTGATATAATATCCAATTAGTCTGGGCAACAAGGCTTACGACAAAGGATGTCAAATCTTTAGGTAAGAAGGTAGCACACCTCTGAAATATCTGAAATGTACCTTGGTAAGCTATGTTAAATGCATTACTATTTACTGTATGACCAGTTTGTTTCACTTATCTAGCACAGATAACAGCACTTTTCACATTATTCTTGCACTTTGCACCAGCTAACTGAATAAAGTCAAAACTGCAGAGATCTTTGAAAGTCACAATGATCAATCAACACCAAAACATCAGTTTACGCTTGCCATCTAAAGAAGAACACCAAACAGCTTAAAAAAAGCACTCCAGGTAAAAACTGTTTTTTATTTTTGTTAAAGAATTTTAACACTGTTTAGCCATTCCGGAAAGTTTGTCAAACCTGCCACGCTGTACAGCTAGGAAGGTGACTTTTCTTGGTTCAAATATGCTGTTTCTATTTGAAACTGCCACCCCCATCTTTTGCACTAAACAATAAATCATCATCACATCAAAGGTTTCATGTTCAGTAAGCATACAGATGTCACAGGAAGATGTAAAACTGAATCCTAAAAAAGTTGAATCACCTTTCTGAATAAACAGTACGGCAATATGGCAAGAGAGTTTGGGTGACTTTAAAGAATTGCAAGACAAAAATAAAAACCTTTACATATGTACTTTCACTGGGTATTTAGACATTTGCCTGGAATTCTGCTTTAAGCCTTGTATTTCTTGATGCTAGCAACCAGTGCATACATTAGTAAATTGTGAATATCAGTCTGGGTGAGGATAGCTGGATTACAAGACATACAAGATTTAAATCATATGCACCAAAAAGGAAAGCAAAAACAAACCATGTAATTTTATGAAACTGCAGCAGTTTTTCAGTGACATGCAATTTTCATCTTCCTTATCATATTTTCTACTTAAAGAATTAAGTCTACATTCTTATCATTGCCAGTTAGTTCAGCTGATTCCAATCTATTCTCCCCACAAGTATCCAATAAACATGAACTATCATTAACATGTACTCACAGTACAATCTTACATTTCTTTTCTAGATAAAAAAAAAAGAACATTTATAGAGCAGAGTTCATAAACAGTGTTTTAGACATACATCTATACCCAAAATAAGAAAGAAATGCTTGTCAAATGTTCCTTCATTATATGACACAAGGGACTGAGAATATCAGTTTAAATTAATACATTTAGTAAAATATGCACAAGGCATTCAAGCATTTAATTTAATTCAGGGCCACCTGAAAGCACTCCCCTGTAAAGAGTTCAAATGTTTCCTCCAGAAAGACAAAATTCTGAGCTCACCTTGTTAGCAGCATCTGTAGCCCTTTTAGTGCTCAAGGATGAGTCAGTAAGTAGCAGGGTGGATAAAAATCAATGATTTTTTAAAAAAAAATAAAAAAAATAAGATTTATTTTATTTAAATCAGATTTTTTTAAATAAAATGCTTTTTGAGGAAAATATATTACTATCCAAAGGTTATTCCATCATGAAATAAAGATTAGTTTTTTAATTATGTAGAATAAGGCTGTATATGTTTAATTTTTTTGGTAAATAAATTCCATTAATCCATTCACAATGTCATGCTCTTCCAGAGGTTTTTGTAAGATTATTGGGCAGTTTCTCTGCCTACAAGATATTATCACAGATGCTTGGTTTACTTTTGCAGTTCTCAAAACTGAATTTGACTCAGCGGAGATCACATGCCTCTTCTTCACAGCAAAAATGTTATAACATGAACAGAGTTAAGAAAAAGACCTTCATCCTAACTTCTACAAACCTATGAATACAGAATCAACCCCTTCAGTGCTAAGTTTCAAGAAGTTCAGTGAATAGAATAGAAACAATATTTTTCTGATTGTTTGGAGTGGAATAGATCTGCACAAGAAGAAAGTGAAACTAAGTGTGAGGAGGAAGGGGCTGACAGTCTAAGTTTCTTAAAATATATATATTTTGTTTAGCCAAATTAGTTAACAAACATGGATGTTTGTTTAAGCAAATAACATATGCTGTAATGATATTGTTTCAGTTGAATAAATCTATTTAAATTATTATTAAAGGTAATGATTATTTTTCTCCTTCCTAAGTACAACAGAAAAGTTGTCCAAATATGAATGATTAACCTATCAATCTGGGGATAAAAAAACTAATATGAAAAGTTGTTATTCTAAAAATCTTCATCTACTTGCATTTTAAAGTTATACCAGCAAGAATTAGTCTTTATGTAGAAAACTAGGATTTAAATCGAGCCTTACTGACTAGTGATTTAAATCGTGATTTAAATCAAATCCACCCTGGTAAGTAGTCATCCTTACAGTTCTCACAGAAATCAACTTTGGATATTTTGGATATTCATGTTTTGTTCATATATGCTTATCTATTCTGTATATAATGCTGCCATGTTGTGAATAGCAACTTAAAGTTGCAGCAGTGTTAACACTCCACTATTGCCAGTAGGATCAATTATTGTGCATTTCCAATGCCAACATGCAAATCCATTCCAAAGTTCCAGTTGTCAATACACATTTCAAAGATTTGCTAAAATAGTTACCGCCCTTGCACTCAATGGAAGAAACTTTTCATTTCAATTAACCTTGGTCAGTGGTAGTGCTCTTGTACTCACTTTTTCCAAGGCCAGATATGAGGTGTATCTGTAACAGTGCTAGGACAAGGTCATCCAGTACCCAGGGTGAAAATGTCAAACTGTGCACATTCCACAGACGGAGCAAAGTGCATGGCTTATAGCAGCGTGCTAAGCAAACACATATGCAATGGCTACAACATGTGCTCAATAAGTGCCAGTGGTTGTGGCACACCGCAGTGAACTAAAGAATTTAATAGCGTCACACATTCTGTCCCACAGTAAAGTATGGGGCTAACATTTGTGAAGGAAAAAATGCCCCACCATAAGTGTGAGGAAAAAATGCCTGTGTCGGTGGTGTCACTGGAAGGAAAAAAAAATGCCCGTGTCAGTGTTGTCTCACTGCATTAGTGTTGGAGGGAAACAAAATGCCGCTATGTTGGTGTCAGCAAGAGGAAAAAAAGCTGCTGCGCCAATGGTGCCAGTCTAAGAAGGATTGATTTGGCATCTGTGTCAGTGGGATGAAGGAGAGGATAAATTAAATTACTAAAACTACTATTATGTTACTAATACTACTAAAACTTACTATTATATTATGTATAATATCACATGATGCAACAAAAGTAATGTATTCATTGGTTTTACAATGACATATTAACATAATAACAGGCGTTGTAAGTGGCAGAACAGAGATAATATAAAACCAGAAACAGTTTGTTGGTCAGAGATGTCATATGAACATATAGGAACGAGGCAAATAGAAGAGCAGATTACAGAGAAGGAAACTAACTAGTATAGAAAAATACTAGCATATGAAAAGAATTGGGACTGCTTTTTGGTGATGCTTCTGTTTGCTATACATCCAGTATATAAGGCCTCTACAGAGTTTTCATCCTGTGAATTGGTGTATGGATAGACAGACCTTGGGAATACATGGCCTACTGAAGAAAAATGGGAAAGTAAGTCCACCCCTCCAAAATGTGTTTTAGAATATGCCTCCCAAATGCAAGAATGGATCACAAAGGTGATGTCAGTGGTCAAGGAACATATGCCAATAACCCAGCATTGGGTTTATATTAAGATAACTAAAATCAGGCACTTCTAGATGGGGGACCGAGTTGTGATGCTGATTCCAACAGTGGAATGCAAGTTTCTGGCCAGGTAGTAAGGTCCAATTGAAATCAGGGCACATGTGAATTACAGAGTTTACCAGCCAGGCAAGAGGAAGCCCTATTAGCTGTATCACATAACTTTATTGAAGCCCTACAATAATAGAGGTGGTGACTGCCTTGGCAGGTGCCAGACTTCGGCCTCCAGTTGGTGTGGACAGTGCATAGGTAGCAAATACACTTTCAAAAGCCTAAACCCAGGCAGCACAGGAATTTTGGAAAAGAAGCAAAAAGAGATTTTCCTGATTTACCAAAGCTCACTGATGTTCTTGAGCATAATATCACTGATATCATTGCTGAGCCCAGTCAGGCTGTACTGCATCCAAGAGACTCAAAGGAAGGCTGTCTCAGATGATGTGAAGAAGATGCTGGCTCTGGGAATGATTTAGGCATTGTAGTGTGAGTGGTTGAGCATGATTTTCTTGGTTCCCAAGACAAACAGCATACTGCAGTTCTGCAATAAGTCCCAGAAGTGTAAACAGAATTTGAAAATTGAACACTTAACCCATGCAATGGATTGATAAGCTGATTAAAAGACTAGGCCCAGCCTGCTACATCAGAATGAAGAAGAATGTGGGAAATTGAGTGTGGTTGAGTTGAGTGTTGGGTGAACTGCTACTTGCTGCAGCTGTGTAAGGCTGGCTACACCACTCATGGGAGAATGCTCCACTGATAACTGGGCCATGTGGTGTCACTGTGTTTGTTCTGGTAAGGTTTTCTGGATGAAGTAAACTCATTTCCTTTCTGTTACTGGGACTAGATTTACCTGAAAAAGGGCATTTGTTTTCTGGTTTG